GTGGTTGCGTCCGCATGGCGCCACCGCACCCAATTCGGCACACCCCTCACACGGTTCGTGGCCCCCATAGGGGCTCCACCGAAGGCCCCAGTGGTTGCGTCCGCATGGCACCACCGCACCCAATTCGGCACACCCCTCACACGCCTCGTGGCCCCACAGGGAGCTCCGCCGAAGGCCCCAGTGGCTGCGCCCGCATGGCACCACCGCACCCAATTCGGCACACCGCCCACACGGTCCGTGGCACCATAGGGAGCTCCACCGAAGGCCCCAGTGGCTGCGTCCGCATGGCACCACCGCACCCAATTCGGCACATCCCCCTTCCCCCTGTGCCCGCCATGCTTCCCCGACCAGTTCACTTTCCGCCGCAGGAGCCCCAGCTGCATCCCGCCGCAGGTCTCAGCGAGCACTTCGGCTTCACGGCGCAGCGGAAGGACAAGGCACCGCCCCCAGCTTCCCTTTATTTGATTTCAACTCGCACGCCATGTCGATCTTCTCTCGCTGCTGGCGCAGCCCGACCCCGACCACCGTTGCTCGTTCCGCTCCGCGTCGCCAGGTCACGGAGCACTCACCTTGGCGCCCAGGTCACTGCGAGGCGTGGTTCGCTTATGGCAAAGGATGCTTTTGCCAGCGCGATGCGCGAGCTTTTGCATGCGGCTCAGAGAGTTGCTCTTAGCGGCGGCTCTGCGGCACCGTCTGCGTCGACCGCTCGTCTGCGCCATGATTTCGGCTTGTGCGTTGTGCGACATGCTCTCGACTGCGCGTCTGCGCGCTGCTCCTGCTCTTGACTACGCGTCTGCGCGCTGCTCTGCTCTTGACTACTCGAGTTGGCGCGCGTCCGTGCGCCCGTCCTCGTCTTGCCTACTCGAGGTGACTATGCGTCTGTGCTCGCTCTCGTCTTGACTAAACGAGTTGACTATGCCTGTGCGTGTTGCTCTGTCGTGTTGACTACGCCTCTGCGCGTTGCTCTGCCGCCGCCGTCTTGCTTCTGGAAAACGCCGACCGACTGTGCTCCTCTTGCTGCGCCCACGGCGTGTTGAAGGTGCCCTTTTGCGCACGGCTTGGCCTCTTGCTGGTCTCCTTTTGCTCATGGCTTGGCGACATACGCTCGCAGCGTCGCTCCTTGCGCGGCCACTCAATCGCGCAGTTTGGATCCACCGCTGCGATGCAAAGCGCCATCCTCGACCCCGCTGGCGGCGCCATAAGCGCGCGATTTGGGCCGCTCACCGCTGAGTGCAGGCGCGGGCCTATGCCGCGCCACGTCGGCGCATCGCGCGCGACGCCAACGGCCGCCCGCATGACGGGCGGCGCGCGCGACTTCTTGCGTTCGCAGCCCGCCCATCGCGGCTCGAAATAGCAGCGGTGTGATTGCTGCGGCTTTGGCTGCGTAAGCGCCATCTAAACATTGCCAGGGCGCCAATTCAATAAATTGAGAACGGTGTGGCCGACGAATATACATAGCGTGAGCATTCAATTGCCACCACCCACATGCGACCTCTTGCCCATCAGGTTGGATGGCCATCCTGGCACCATGCAGGTGATCATCCATTGGCTATTATAAATTATGAAGACGTCACGTGCGCCCCTGGCTTCTCCCGCGCGTTGCCTTTCATCGCAAAGTACGCAGGCCGTGCCATACGCCTTTCGTCGGCGACTGGGCGTCTCTCATTGGCGTCGCGACACAATTGCACTTGGACTCAGGACTCCTCCGTCGCTTGGCCATATACAAGACAGCATCTTGATATCGCATAGTCAGCGCTTGGGCATTCTGCGCGCGGTTCCCGTCGCGTGAACGCGGTGTAGACGTTGCCTGTGCAGTGCTCGGCATCACCGCGCCAATGTCTCGACCTTCAGCCTGATGCATCTTCCGTTCGGTGTCCAGCTTTGCGTCGACATCCATGCGATCAGCTGCATCAGATGAGCATCGCTTCCGCCCAAATGTGTTGTGCATCCCAATGGTGTTCTGGAATGACACCTCCATCAGGCAAACCTCCCCCCGTGTCGGACGTCTCCGCATTTCCACTTAGCGATGGTGGAACTGACAGCGGCGGCGATCGGCGCGCGCTTGCGCGCGCACGATGTCGTTTGCATGCGTTGGATATATTCCACGTCGAGGCGATCGCCTCTTGGGGCCAGAGAATACAAAAAAGCCTGGCGAATGACCCAACCAACTGCAGATGCGAATGTCTCATTGTGGGTGCCACTTTCGGTGAGGTTCCCTATGGGGCCACGAACCGTGTGAGGGGTGTGCCGAACAGGGTGCGGTGGTGCCATGCGAACCCAGCTACTGGGGCCTTCGGTTGAGCTCCCTATGGGGCCACGAACCGCGTGAGGGGTGTGCCGAATTGGGTGCGGTTGTGCCATGCGGACGCAGCCGCTGGGGCCTTCGGTGGAGCTCCCTATGGGGCCACGGGGCGTGTGAGGGGTGTGCCGAAGTTGGTGCGGTGGTGCCATGCTGACGCAGCCACTGAGGCCTTCGGCGGAGCTCCCTGTGGGGGCCACGAGGCGTGTGAGGGGTGTGCCGAATTGGGTGCGGTGGTGCCATGCGGACGCAGCCACTGGTGCCTTCGGTGGAGCTCCCTATGGGGCCACGAGCCGTGTGACGTGTGTGCCGCATTGGGTGCGGTGGTGCCATGCGGACGCAGCCATTGGGGCTTTCGGTGGGGCTCCTTATGGGGCCACGAGACGTGTGAGGGGTGTGCCGAATTGGGTGCGCTGGCGCCATGCGGACGCAGGCGCTGGGGCCTTCGGTGGAGCTCCCTCTGGGGCCACGAACCGTGTGAGGGATGTGCCGAATTGGGTACGGTTGTGCCATGCGGACGCAGCCACTGGGGCCTTCGGTGGAGCTCCCTATGGGGCCACGAGACGTGTGAGGGTTGTGCCGAATTGGGTGCGGTGGTGCCATGCGGGCGCAGGCACTGGGGCCTTCGGTGGAGCTCCCTATGGGGCCACGAACCGTGTGAGGGGTGTGCCGAATTGGGTGCGGTGGTGTGCGGACGCACGGTGGAGGGCCACGAACCCACGTGCGGACGCAGCCACTGGGGCCTTCGGTGGAGCTCCCTAAGGGCCACGAACCGTGCGAGGGATGTGCCGAACTGTGTGCGGTGGTGCCATGCGGACGCAGCCACTGGTGCCTTCGGTAGAGCTCCCTATGGGGCCACGAACCGTGTGACGGGTGCGCCGAATTGGGTGCGGTGGTGCCATGCGGACGCAGCCACTGGGGCCTTCGGTGGAGCTCCCTCTGGGGCCACGAACCGTGTGAGGGGTGCGCCGAATTGGGTGCGGTGGTGCCATGCGGACGCAGCCACTGGTGCCCTCGGTGGAGCTCCCTATGGGGCCACGAGACGTGTGAGGGTTGTGCCGAATTGGGTGCGGTGGTGCCATGCGGACGCAGGCACTGGGGCCTTCGGTGGAGCTCCCTATGGGGCCACGAACCGTGTGAGGGGTGTGCCGATTTGGGTGTGGGTGATGATGACGATGGGTGGTGATGACGATGGGGTGGTGATGATGATGCTGAGGAGGAGGAGAGGAGGTGGGACGTGGGGCGCTGTCTCTTGCAAAACGAGGGCCCAACACAGGATGGTTGGGGAACATCACATTGGGTTGTCCCATGGAGTCTTAGTGCCATAATCGTAGGCTTGTATGTAAAACGCATCCTCTCCTTCTCATCCCCCTTCAACACGTGATAGCATAGCATAGCATAGCGCAACATAGCATAGCATAGCGCAGCATAGCATAGTGCAGCATAGCCTAGCATGACATAGCGCAGCCTAGCATACCCTAGCATAGCATAGCATAGCGCATCACAGCTCAGCATCACATAGCATACCATAGCATAGCATAGCGCATAGCATAGCATAGCATGCGTGATATGGTTTGTCCCTCCTCCCACCCTCTTTTTGCCTCTTGGGTCAATCTTGGGCGTCTTGAGGTCCTCGTTGGGCTGTTTTTGGGGCGTCTGGGGTGCTTCCTCGGCGTAGAACCACATCACCGCCTGGGGCGGGCAGGCACTTCTCTCTCCTGCTCCCCCCTCCTCCTGCTCCTCATCCTCCTCCCTCCACCCCCTCCCCTCCATCTCTCTCTCCTGCTCCCCCCTCCTCCTGCTGCTCCCCTCCCCCCCCTCTCTCCTCCTCCCTCCACCCCCTCCACGGCGAGACTTCCTCACAATTTCCCATAGACCAGGCACCCGCTCGAGACGACCCCCAGATACAAGCACCTGCAGAGCCCCAAAACAGGACGAAACCGACCGGCAACAAAACAAGCCCCAAAACGGGACGAGCCCCAAAACGGGACGAGGCCTACGGGCCCAAAGCGACCCCCAAACGGTGTCGCTGGTCGAGAGGGGGGGGGAACTCGTCGCTGCAATCCTCCTGCATCCCGCTGCCAGGACCCTGCCAAACCCTACTTCTTTCCCATCACCGTCGTCCTCCCTCCTCCCCCACTACTCACCGTCTTTCCGTCAGGCCCATTCGATCTGCAAACTCGGATACACTGTATGATACACTAGGCTGCGTTTTGTTCACAGGCTGCGTGGTGTTCACAGGCTGCGTGGTGCTCACAGGCTGCGTGGTGCTCACAAGCTCACAAGAGTTATCGCCACCAGGCTGCGTGGTGTTCACAGGCTGCGTGGTGCTCACAGGCTCACAACTCGGTTACGTGGGTTACAACCAGGCTGCGTGGTGTTCACAGGCTGCGTGGTGCTCACAAGAGTTGTCACACACGTACACACCAGTAACGCGGTGCCCCTTGGGTGTGTGAGGTGCTCTACAGGCACCGTGGTGTCCTCAGGCATTGTGAACAGGCTTCTGTGGTGCATGTAGGCACCCCCGCAGGGTTCTCATGGGGGTTGCTCTGGTCACAAGGCCCGTGCGCGATAGCAGGCAACATTGCGTTGGCATGAGGGGGGGCCTTTGCCCAGCCCCCTTCTTAAACAGTTTCTGTGCGTGTGGATCAAGGGATTGTGATTGAGTCCCGACTGCAGCGCCTGCAACCCCTACCGTAAGGACACGAGTCGGACAGTCTACTTCGCCATGGCCAGTGGCAGTGGCAGCGCGAGCGGGACCCGCGAGGTCCACCCTTTCGACGGGTCCCGCATGGCCCCGCGGAGCAACGAGTCGTTTACGCTGTCGGGTTCGGTTGCCGACGACCTGCCCGAGATCGGCGACGCCTTGATGGTCAACATGTCGCCGCCGAAGGACAACTTCAAACGCCTCGGCTCCTCCAGGGAGCACTTCAGCCGCGAGGACATCAGCCCTGCCGCGGGCGCCGTCGCCCCCAAGGATGAGGGCAGTGTGGGCGCCCCTGAGGACGCCCCGATGGGCGGCGGCGAAGGCGCCGCCGTCGGCGAGGAGCAGGTCGCCGTCGCCGAGGGCGCTGAGGAGACGGACGCCGACCGTCACGCAGGGACGATCAAGGCGGAGTTCAAGGCGATGGGCATGAAGATGGTCGAGATGTTGGCGCATACGTCTGTCGCACCACCTCCGTTGGCCATGGGCGCAATGGCCATGCCCGTGGACCCCGTGGACGCGCGTGCGGAGGGCGATGACGGTGAGAACGCTTCGGCGGCGGCTGAGCCTGAGCATGAACCGATGCTTGATGGCGAGCATGGGGGTTTGCTCGACGACGACGACCGCAGGGTCAGCCCCTTGTCTGTGGCGGAACCGCTGCCAGCAGGGGCAGCGTTCGCCAACTTCAACAGGATCAGAGCCACGGTCAACAGCTACGCTGACAAGATGTGCTCCCCGACTTGGTTCGCAGACATTGTCCTCGGTACAATCCATTCCCTTGCCAGGAGGTTGGAGAACCGAGGCGAGGCGGACATCCTGAATAAGGCACCCTACGACGTCCAGGCGGCCTACAAGCAGTTGATGGTGCGCGTGAAGGCAGTGATCGAGTTGCACAAGGGTATCAAACAGTGGGGGGAGGCTTCAGATGACCGCGCCCTCGATTCCATGTTGACGCCTCTCTCTGTGTTATTGGGCTACCACCTTACAGTCAACGGTTTCATGAACGACGAGCTGAACATCACCTTCGCCTATGCGATCTTCAGAGGGATGGCCGCTCAGCAGGGCTCCGTCTCGGCGGCGGTGCGCCTGTTCGACGCAGGCACGCTTCAGCACATGGTGGCGCTGAGGGAGCTCATCATCTCCACGTGCGTCAAGACAGAGACCGCAACGAGCGAGGCGGTAGTGAAGGTGGAGGACACAGCGTCGGCCGCCGCCGAGCCGCCGCAGAAGAAGCCGAAGCGCAAGCGAGCCACGCTCGACACGCAGGGAAAAGTGGTGAAGGGTCAGACGGCGCTCTATTACTTGTCTACGATGGTCTCGGACAACATCCGTTCTTGGCTGGGCGGCCTCAGCGAGGCCGACGTTCGGGACACCGCCAAGGCCAACAGCATCATCAATGAGCTCAGTGAGATAGTCAAGTTCTGGTCCGAGAAGGAGAAGCAGATCGAGACGTCCGTGGAGGACGACACTTTCGCCGAGGTGGGTTGTTGCCCAAATCACTCTCGCCCTGGGGGGGGAGTAGGATGAGGATGAGGAGGACAGGGAGGACGAGGAGGAGGAATATGAGGAGGGGGAGGAGTAGGATGGGGAGGAGGGGGGAGGAGGAGGAGGAGGAGGAGTAGGACGAGGAGGAGGATGAGGAGGAAGAGGAGGAGGAGGAGGAGGACGCTCCAGGATGAGGGGAGGGAGGAGGAGGAGGAGGAGGAGCAGGAGGAGGAGGAGGAGATATGAGGAGGAGGATTCTCCGGGAGGAAGGAGAGGAGGAGGATTCTCCGGGAGGAAGAAGAGGAGGAGGGGGAGGAGGCAGAGCAGGGGGAGGAGGAGGAGGAGGAGCTGGAGCAGGAGGAGGAGGATGAGGAGTACGAGGAGGAGTTCCTCGCCAACCTCGTCGTGCCCCTACCCAACCTCGGGCAGACTAATCTTGGCCCCATAGGTGCTGAAGAGCGCGCTCGTGGTCGCCAGGTGCGCATACACCATGGAGAAGGTCAGGCCCTCCACTGCCTTAGCGAGAAAGGCCAGGAGGGCGATCGCCGAGCAGGTGAAGCAGCCAAGCACCCCAGCTTCGGAGCTTGCGAGATCGATGTGTGCTTACCCAGCTCCGAAGTTCCTGATGGAATCCAGTCGGCTTCACGTGAATCAGAGCATCGAGGACGAGACGGCGACAACGAACTTCAAAACATGCTCGGATTCTTTTGAATCCCATTTCAGCGCTCTTTTCGACGACCCGCAGGGATGGAAGATCAGCGCGCTGCATAACATTGCCGACAAGGCCATGGACGGCTGCGGCATGGATCTCGTGTTCTTCTTCGGAGGCATTGGCCCCTTCTTCACGGGTGCGTGGGCGGCACTTTCGACCTGGACTTCAGCGTGCGCGCAGGAGAACGTCTCGTTCTTCGTGGAAAATTTGGCGAACAGCTTCGAGATCCTCGAGGTCGCTAAGTACATGATTACGGAGGTCTACTGGGCATGCGTGGGATCCACCAGCGGGCGGATGGGCAACCTGCTGATGGAGACCATCATGGGCTCCGAACCACAAGAGTCTGAGTCGGCTGAATCGAAACAGGAGCGTCAGCGGGAGATCGATCAGGAGTTGGAGTTATACAATACGAGGCTCAATAAGCTGCTGGCCACATTGCCGCGCTTCGCCGACGCCCTGAAGGACTATTACGACCGTTACTTGAAGTGCAGGAACTTGGCAATCCAGCGCATGGGCGACATCTTCATCTCCGAGCTCGGCGAAGACCACAAGACTACGAACCCCATCACGTACGAGGTCGAGCTTACCCACGTCAAGACCGTGATCACCGATATGGCTGTCTACCAGAAGCACTGCATGGACCTGGCTGGTGCGCGCGCTGATTTCTCGACTGCTACTGGGCGCGAGGAGTTCACGAATATCATCATAAAGCTCGCTGGCCTCCAGCGCTTCATGGACGGCGAGCACTGGTCGAACAAACTCGAGCAGTCGGTCGATTGCGTTGTGGCCGACAAGGACCGCGTGAATTCAATCGGCGCCACCTTCTGCGAGTTCAAGGACGTCGCAGGCTCCACTGGCATCACCCCCCCATTTCCACTCGCCGGGCCTGGGGCATTTGTCGAACTGCATGGTTTTTTGATGTTCGATTTTCGGTTTCGGTGTTTTGGGAGGCCTGCGTGAAACTGCACCAGGGTGTTGGCTTCGGGGCCTGGGTTTCAGGACGGCGGGGAAATCGGAGTGGGCCAGGTGCGGGGATTCGGGGTGATGTCTGCGCAGGCTCGCAGATCTACACCGCCTGCTCCGACAGGTTCGTGGCAGAGCGCATGGTGGACATCGCTCCGTCCCTGACCTTCGCCATCGTGAGCGTGAGCGAGGATGTGGTTGCGGAGGGCAACGGTGACGCTGCGTTCGGGAAGCTGGTCACGGCTTCCACGCCAATGGAGGACCTCTTCCATCCTGGGGTTACCTTCGTGGACGGCGGCCGCGCAGACGAGGAGGCGCTGCAGGCATCGACGCACTACAAGGCCCTCTCAGACTTGGTCGCTTTCCTGGAGGCGAGTGGCCTCGCATCCTTCAGCATCTCAGGCGTGAGTACCAGCGATGGTGACAAGCGGCTGCCAGCGGATGCCGCCGTCTCCTACCTGAAGATGATCACTAACGTCAAGGACGTCACGGCCATCGCGGCGGTGGCGCATCACAACGTGTTCGTGAATATCAAGGGCGCTAAGGACCTGAATGATACGGACATCGCGCGCGTGTTCGGTCCCTTCGTGCACGCCCAGACTTTGTTGGCGAAGGCGCTGGTGAGGATTCACGACCTGATGTCCTCGAAGGAGATACATTCGCTCGAGTGCCTGGGCTTCGCAGCCCCCTTTACCGTCCAATCCGTGAGGCAGTGGGCTAAGGGAATGTCTGTGCTGTCAGGTTTCTGCAGGGCGGAGCTGCTGAAGCGCCTTGCGGATATCGTCATGAAAGACGCCGCTGAGTGCAAGAAGACCCTGCCCGACTGGAGCGCCGTCATGGACCAGCAGACGGGCGCGCTCAACGAGAAGCTGGCGACCAAGCAGTTCAACAACTTGGAGAAGATCGTGGAGTGGTACAACACCATTCACAAACATTTGCGGTGGCTTTCGAGGGCGGGCGTGTTGATGGAGCTGACCCCGAGCATCCAGCACCACGACCTCACTTCGGAGAGCGTCGCCGTTGCCATGGCGTGCATGGCCCTGGGTGTTCAATGGATTCGCGGGGCCCCATCGTGGTTGGCCTGTCCGTCGGGCACTCCCTACTTAGCACAGCTCAACCTTCCCATCTTTCTCCTGCTCCTCCTAATCCTGATCTTCTCAACGGGAGTGCCCCGATCGACTGCCCAGCCGAATTGGCCACGCATTCATTGATCAGCCATACAGGGGAAGACGAAGCAGGTGATCACCATGACCAAGGGCATCATGATGTTGGCGGGCTTGCGCCAGGACCCTGGCGGGCCCAAGCGCGCCAGGGACTTCGTGGCAGAGAACAAGGCGAAGAGCCCTGACATCCCCAAGGGTTTCTGGGACGAGCTGGAGACCGTCGCGGCCGAGGGCGGCGGCGCCGATGACACCGCATCGGTGGCTGGCAAGTCTGCCAAGGCCACCTCCGTGCAGCAGACGCCGCCGCCCAAGAACGCTGCCACAACGGAGGGGGCGAGTTCGGCGACCAAGAGCAAGCAGGAGGACGGGACGGGCGCCAGCGCTGGCGCTCCTGAGGTAGGCGGCGGCGGCGGCGGCTCCGACGCGGCAGCGGAGCAGCCAGCTGAGCCCGTCAAGCCAAAGCGGGCCAAAGGCCTCAAACGCACGAAGTGCGAGCAGTAGGTCGCTCTACCAGAAGCAACTTGGAAGCTGGGGCAGGAGAAGGAGGAGGGAGGGGGAGGAGGAGGGAGGGGGAGGAGCAGGGGGGAGGAGCGGGAGGAAGGAGGCGGAGGGGAGGGAGGGGGAGGAGCAGGGGGAGGAGTGGGAGGAGGGAGGAGGGAGGGGGAGGATGAGGAGGAGACCCGCATGAAAAACAACTCGAGCTGTTCCTCCCCTCTAGTGGGAAGCCTTCGAGTAGACAGTTCATGGAATGTTGTATCGTGCACTTGTGGTGCGGAAGTTGCTTCTGTTTTGCAGGCTCCCGAGTTTGCTAGCGAGAAGTTTCGCCTGCGACAGGGGTGCCTCGCTCAGCCAGCTGTTGCCACTACAGCTTAGGCCCCGCGCCCTGCCAGCCCCGATGGGCACGGCGCGGCGCGGTGTGTAGCACGGCGGGCGCTGCGCAGAGGGGCGCGGTGCCGAGGGAGGTGGCTGCAGCGAGGAGAAGATCGCATGGTAGGAAAGGTGAAGTGAAAATGAGCCCGTGCCAGGAGTTCTACGCGTCGTGTCAGTGTTGGTTTCTCGGGATTGCCTCCGTGATGCATGCATGAAGGGGTGCTTCTGATCGGCAGGGATGGCCGTGATCACTGGCACTGTTGGTGTTTATGGCATCGTCACGTCTCCATCTTGTTGGCTCCCTCATCTCTTTCAGTGCCCCGTCGTGCACCTGATACCTTGTTCAGTCCTCACGGAGCACCTGCTCTCTCCCGTCTCAGCATCCCGCCCGCTCGCTTCTCCCCCCCCCCCCCCCCCCCCGCACCTTTGCACCTCCACCCTTCGCCCGAGCCGCTTGCGCGACGGGGGTTCGGCGCGGTGACACAACGTCGCATCCCGAGCTGTGTTGATGGGGTGTGTGTGTCCGCGGTGCCGTGTCGCGAGCAGTTCGCACTTAAATGCGTCTGCTCTGTTGCCAATGGGGGGGGGGGGGGGGGGGGGGCGCGCGCCCCATATTCAACACGAAACGGTGGCCGCGCAGGGAGGGGGTGCATTCGTCTTATCGACACGCACCCTACGAGGATCGCGCCCCACAGGGAGCTCCACCTCATGGCCCACCCCCCCGCCAAACAATCGTAAACAAACCACGTGCCCGTAGCCATTGCTTGGTTCAAGCATCGTGCATATCAGCAGGGTTCTTCCCGTGCGCGGGCCGTCTACAGCGAGACTTTGGTGCCAATCGGCAAGAGCGCCAACTACTACAGGAGTCGCCTGGTCAACACGTTGCTCAGGAAGAACGCCATTCAGAAGGAGCTGACGGAGCAGAAAAACATCGTGAAGTGGGCTATCGGCTCATCCCGCAGGGTGCTAGATAAGCTCGAAGAGAAGCAATTGGGTCTGCCTCCCTGGGTCCAGAAGTTGGTCAAGAAGCGCGCGAAGGAGGCGAAGGCCAACGGTGCGGCCGCGGGCAGCGCGACCAAGAGCAAGGGCAAAGACACGGAGGAGAAGAAGTCTTCCCCGAATCCAGAAGGGTACATCCCGTCGTTTCATCGTGACAAGGCAGGCGAGTGGTGGCCGACGTGGGTGAAGGAGGGGCGTGCTTCTGAGCAGCAGATTCCATCCTTATCGGGGGTTTCGAGTGTGCAGTGTGCCCTGCTCTTCCCGCCAGTTCAGCGTTCGACCATTGGCCGATGCCCTTGATCAAGGCTTTGAGGTCTGCAGTGTGCCCTTGACAAGGGCCTTTTTTGCCCGCCAGTTCAGCGTTCAACCATTGGCCGATGAGCCCATGGTGCCTTCCATGTCGCAGCGCATCGGCCCAGGCATGATAGCTTGGCCGAGCTTCTTCTCTCGTGGCGCCTGTTCGCCGACGTGCCGCATCGGAGCCAGCCGATGTCTGAAAACAAACATTCATCGTCATGCTTCGCATTGCACTCCGCCGCCCCTCCCTCCCCCTTAGACCTCGCCCCGTCTTAGATGACGCCAGGGGCCTCATGCACCGAATACAACGATAACGACGACGATGCATACCACGATATTGGCGACGATAACGGCACACGCAGGACGGCGACGACGACAATGCTGGGGCCCAGTGATAAACTAAAGCTTTGCAGCTAGCCCTCCACCTCATTCCCCCCTCGCCCGCACGGGTGCAGTATAACAAAGTAGTGTCGTTGTGTATCCCATGAGTGTAACGCGAGAGTATATATCAGTATTGTAGCACAGGTAGTGAGCACGCGTGCAGTAGTGTATGATTGCAACTGATCAGCCAAAGCATGGTATCATAGTCTGCTCCGTTACCAAGCGTAAGTTTGCTCTTGACCCGAATTCGGGCAAACCAGGACCGTCTTGCAAACCGAGTTGCTTACAAGACTGCGCGGCCCTCTGCTCTGACCTACCCGTGTTGCTTTGACGAGTGCAAGACAGGTCGTCTTGCCCCACCCTCTGCGCGGACGAGTTGCAAGACAGGTCGTCTTGGGCCGTGGGGGTCTCTGCAACACAGGGGTCCCGCACCCTCTCAACGTCTTGGAGCCCTCTTGGGCCGTCTTGGGGACCTCTTGGGCCGTGTTGGGGCCGTCTTGGGCCGTCTGGAGGCCGTCTTGGGGGCCTCTTGGGCCATCTTGGGGCTGTCTTTGGGGCCTCTTTGGCCGTCTTGGAGCGTCGGGAAGCCGAAAAGGCGGAAAAGCAAAACACATCGAAAAACACTATGGAAAATCAACAATTTTAGACTCTTGGGGCCCTCTTGGGAGGCTTGTTTGGGACCTCGGGGGCCGTCTTGGAGACCTCTTGGCCCGTCTTGGGGCCATCTTGGGCGTCTTGGAGGGGTCGTTTGGCGTCTCGGAGCCTTCGTGGGCCGTCTTGGAGGCCTCTTGGGGGCTTCTTGGCCCGTCTTGAGGCCCTCTTGGGCCCGGAAAAGCCCGTGAACCGCTCGTCCCGGCCGTGCTGCGCTCGTCCTGGCCCCCTCCCCGCCTCCAAATCGGCCCTCTTGGGCCGTCTTGAGGACCTCTTGGGCCGTCTTGGGGCCGTCCTGGGCCGTCTGGAGGCCGTCTTGGGGGCCTCTTGGGCCATCTTGGGGCTATCTTTGGGGCCTCGTCGCGCGTCTTGGAGCGTTGGGAAGCCGGAAAGGCGGAAAAGCAAAAAACGTCGAAGAACACTATGGAAAATCAACAATTTTAGACTCTTGGGGCCTTCTTGGGAGACTTGTATGGGACCTCGGGGGCCGCCTTGGAGACCTCTTGGCCCGTCTTGGGGCCATCTTGGGCGTCTTGGAGGGGTCGTTTGGCGTCTCGGAGCCTTCGTGGGCCGTCTTGGAGGCCTCTTGGAGCCTTCTTGGCCCGTCTTGAGGCCCTCTTGGGCCCGGAAAAGCCCTGGAACCGCTCGTCCCGGCCGTGCTGCGCTCGTCCCGGCCCCCTCCCCCCCTCCAAATCGGCCCTCTTGGGCCGTCTTGGGGACCTCTTGGGCCGTCTTGGGGCCGTCCTGGGCCGTCTGCAGGCCGTCTTGGGGGCCTCTTGGGCCATTTTGGGGCTATCTTTGGGGCCTCGTCGCGCGTCTTGGAGCGTCGGGAAGCCGGAAAGGCGGAAAAGCAAAAAACATCGAAAAACATTATGGAAAATCAACAATTTTAGACTCTTGGGGCCCTCTTGGGAGGCTCATTTGGGACCTCAGGGGCCGTCTTGGAGACCTCTTGGCCCGTCTTGGGGCCATCGTGGGCGTCTTGGAGCGGTCGTTTGGCTTCTCGGAGCCTTCGTGGGCCGTCTTGGAGGCCTCTTGGGGGCTTCGTGGCCCGTCTTGAAGCCCTCTTGGGCCAGGAAAAGCCCCGTGGAGCGCTCGTCCCGGACCCCCCCCCCCCCTCCAAATCGACCGGACCGGGCTCCCGGGGGAGGGGTTTGGGGAGGGGGAAGCATCTCACACGCCGATGATCCCCAAGGGGTCGGCGGATTCTCCGCCTCCTTCGCCTCCTCCTTCTCCTCCTCCTTCTCCTCCTCCTCCTTCTCCTCCTCCTCTTCCTCATCCGATTCCTCTTCGATTCGTTTGATTCAAGCCCGATTCTGCAGCACTGGCAAAGGTGTATAGCTGATTTTTTCCAGGGCCTGAACCTGACAACTATTCAACCATGGCTCCCATCACCATGGCGGAGGTGGCCAAGCACACCACCAAGACCGATTGCTGGGTAGTCGTGGCTGGTGAGGTGCTCGACGTGACCTCGTTCCTTAGCCAGCACCCTGGAGGCGAGCTGGCCATCCTCACGTTCGCCAGTAAGGATGCCACCGAGGAATTCAACATGATCCACCCTCCAGACGTGATCCCGAAGTACGCCCCGGACGCCGCCATTGGCAAACTTGGGGCAGGCGGCGGAGATGACAAGCCAAAGAAGGAGAAGAAGGAGAAGAAGATCAAGTCTGGCGGCGGTGGCGGCGGTGGCGGCGGCCTCACCATGGCGGAGGTGGCCAAGCACACCACCAAGACCGATTGCTGGGTGGTCGTGGCTGGTGAGGTGCTCGACGTGACCTCGTTCCTTAGCCAGCACCCTGGAGGCGAGCTGGCCATCCTCACGTTCGCCGGTAAGGATGCCACCGAGGAGTTCAACATGATCCACCCTCCGGACGTGATCCCGAAGTACGCCCCTGACGCCGCCATTGGCAAGCTTGGGGCAGGCGGCGGTGCCGACGAGAAGGATGATTCGGACGATGACGACGACTCGGATGAGGATGAGGAGGAGGCTGTCGGTGGTGGCGGCGGGTACAGCCCGGAGGAGGTGGCGAAACACGTCACCAAGGATGATTGCTGGGTCATCCTCGGCGGAAAGGTGCTCGACGTGACCTCCTTCCTGTCGCAGCACCCGGGGGGCGAGCTGGCGATCCTCACGTTCGCAGGCAAGGACGCCACGGCGGAGTTTGACATGATCCACCCGCCCGACGTGGTCGGCAAATACGCGCCAGACGCCGTCATCGGCGACGTCGGCAGCGGCGGCGGCGCGAAGAAGAAGAAGGAGAAGGCGCCCAAGAAGGGCGGCAAGCCGGTCATCCTGGACAAGGGCGGCAAGATCGCCAACCACCAGGCTTGAGGGCACCTGGACGGCCGGGACAATTGGCGCGAAGGCGTCATGGACAGCAACCCGGGCGTGTTCTTGATCAACGTGCGGGCCTACTTCTACGCCGCTTGGTACTTGCTGAGCGCCGTCCTCTACGAAGTCGCCGCGACGATCTTCGTCAACAAGAACTTCAAGATAACTGGCGACCGCGTTGGCCTCACCCGCAGCGCGATCTTGCTGGTCCTGTTCATCGTCATCCATGCCGTCGGCCCGATGACTTCAACGGCCAACTGACAAGCTGGGGCGGGAGAAGACGCGGCGACGGCGCGGAGGGGAATGAAGAGGGGGAGGAGGAGGAGGGGGAGGAGGAGGAGGAGGAGGAGAAGGAGGAGGAAGGAAAGGAGGAGGAGGGAAAGGAGGAGGAGGAGGAGAAGGAGAGGGAGGAGGAGGAGGAGGCCCGACGACTTCAACGGCTACGGCTACTTCTACGCGCGCCCGTACTGGACTGGCTTCGGGCTCCCCGCCAACATCGTGGAGGAGTACATCCTGCTCTCGGTCCTCCTGCACGTGCTCGCGGGCCTCCAGCGCACCTGGGACACGTCCCTCGGCATGTTCAAGAACAATCCGCGAGCACTCGACCTCGCCTGCACGGGCCTGGTCCTGCTCACCTTCATGACCGTTCACTTGTTCCAGTTCCGTTTCGGCGACACCGACCAGTTCGGGCCGTACATGATCCGCCCCCCTCCCTACCTCATCAATTTCTGGGGCGTCTTCGAGCTCGACCTCTTCTGGACGAAGGACGCCTCGATCCAGCCAGTGGGGGTTCGCGACATCTACGCGCTCGAGTTCAAGCTCTTCAACGATTCCAAGGCTCTCAGCCTCTTCTACATGTTCGCGGTGGTCGTGTTCATGGTCCACGGTTGCCTCGGCTGGAAGAAGCTCGCCCCAGCGTCGGCTTTCGGCATCCCGAATCAGCACATCCCATTGGTGACCAAGTACGGCTACGCAATCTTCATTGCGGTCGGCCTCGTATACATCTCGTTCCCGCTGTACTGTCTCTGCACGGTCCCGTTCAACGGCTACGAGAAGGACATCAACTCCGGCCGCGTCGAGCGCTGAGCTCCCAGCTCCCCGCGCAGTGCCAGACTGCGTCGAGCACTGCCTGGCCTGGCGTGAGCGGGCTGGCGTCCCTTGGGCGTTTTGCAGCACCCTGCGGACTGTCGGTCGTCGTCGTCCTCATCATCACCATCATCATCATTTTCACCATCACTATCACCATCACCATCGCCATCACCATCATCAACATCATCATCATCATCATCATCAGCAGCATCTTCATCATCATCATCATCATCATCATCATCATCATCATCATCATCGTCATCGTCATCGTCATCGTCATCGTCATCGTCATTATTATTATTATTATTATTATTATTATTATTATTATTATTATTATTATTATTATTATTATCATTATCACTATTATTATCCTCCTCCTATTACTTCTACTCCAGACGGTTCGCGTACCCACACCAGTCCATCCAGAAACGATGCCAAGACGGGTTGTCTTGATCAGGAATGTGGGGGAGCACGCAGTGGGGCTGGGAAGCCGTCATACCCCAAGAGGGGGAGGATGGAGGAGGAGGAGGAGGAGAAGGAGGAAGAGGAGGAGGAGGAGGAAGAGAGGAGGAGGAGGAGGAGGAGGAGGAGGAGGAGGAGGAGCTGGAGGAGGAGGAGGGGGAGGAGGAGGGGGAGGAGGAGGATGAGGAGGAGGGAGGAGGGAGAAGGGAGGAGGGAGGAGGAGGTTTTAGGTGGATGAGGAAGAGGAAGAGGAGGAGAAGGAGGGCGAACAGAAAGGCCAGAGGCCTCTTGGATGCTTTTGCGAAGTCTCTCAGCATGTCTATTCAGAGCTTTTTGTACGCCTTCTTGGGCGTCTTGGGGGCCTCTTGGCGGTCCCGGGGGGCCTCTTGAAGCGTCTTGGGTTCCTCGCGGAAGCCTCCTGCGGCCTCTTCTCGGTCTCTTGGGAACCGCCTTGGGCATCTGGCTTACCTCTTGTGGCCTCCTGGGCGCCTCTTGAGGATCCTCTTCTGGCACTCGTTGCAGCCTCGGGGGCCATCCTGTGGCCATCTTGGAGGTAAATGCTCAAAGAAGGGGGTGGGACCAATTAGGGTCCCCCACCCCCAAGAAGCCAACATTGACCCAACACCACAGTAAAATGAACGATGTTGGTCCAGTGGTAGGGGGTAGGGGGAGATGGGTATGGGGAAGAAGGGGGGTTGGAAGAGGAAACGCTCTAAACCACCCGCGCCCCGAAGGGCTGGTGGGACTCTTCCTCCTTCTTGGAGGCGCGGTAGCGGGGGGGGGGGGAGGACTAGGAGGGGGGCGGAGATCGTGGCCGGTGCCACGAAGTCTCCCAGATGTCATGGTCCTCCCTCTTCTGCTTTCAAGAAGGCCCTTGGCCACCCCTCGTCAGCACACAAGCCTCGGGCCATGCACGGTGCGCCGGACACCCCTTTTCCATGGCCCCCCATCTGCGGCGCACCGCGCCCGCTCATTCCATTGGGCTCCCCCTCATTCCCGTGGGCTCCCCACCCGCCCACCCGTGTGAGGCCCACATATATACATGTTCCTACCGCCCCATCTCCTCTCGTCCTCCTTGTCCTCCTCGCCGCAAGTCATCCACCACGCAAGTCATCCTCCTTGTCCTCCTCGCCGTGGAAGGCAACATGTGGTCATCGCGCAAGTCATCCACCACGCGTTGAATACACCTTCATCGGCCCTTTGTTCCCGCCGCTCCGTCCACCCGCGAGCCCGCGCGTCGCGGTCGCGGCTGCCACTTGGAGCTGCAGAGAGGCCCGGAGGAAAAAGAGTGCGCTCCCGCTGGGGTGGCCGCAGTCTCGAGTCATGGGGCAGCGCAGACAGAGGCTCGACCTCGGGCTGCCTTTCCGAGGGCGTGTGTCCCAGGTCGCTGGCGAGCCGCGCAGTGCCGTGCCTCCCGGGCGTGCCAGGCCCCCGACCCCGTCGCTCCTCACTCGTGGTCTCTGGGAGGCCCCTTTTCCTCAGAGGAGGAAAAGGTCAACCCTTGCCTCGTTTCCCCCTTTCTGGGCCTCCTGGGAGGCCCCCGTCGCCACCGTTGGAGTCGCCTCGCCCTCGTCGCCACGGCTGGATTCTCCCCGAAATTTTGGCCAGAACGCACCCCAGGAGAGGTCTACAGAGTCGCGGTATCGGTACCTTTCAGTGGCTGTATCGGTACCTTTGGGTTCCCCAATCCCCTCAGCAGGCGTCTCGAGCGGGTCTCGGCTCGGCGGGCACGCCGCCTACGTGGCAGTGGCAGTTCCGTCAGGCGAGTCCCTTCCTGCTCGTCATCCTCTCCCGCGCCGTCACCAGCTTCCACTACCCACATCCTCGTCCTCGCGCTCGCCCTCCCTCACGCTCCCTTGCAAGCCCCGCGCCTCCGCTCCTCCGCCGCCTGCTGCTGCTGCTGCTGCTGCTGCTGCCAAAAAGGGCTGCGCAACACTGCTGTCCATCACAGAGCAGCCGCCCGACCGCGGCCTCCCGCGCCCCGTGGCATCACGGACAGGAGGAAGGGGGAGGGGGGAACCGCTGCCGCCCAAGGCGTGCCCGACTCGGCCGCTGCCCGTTGGAGTGCGAGGCATTCGACCTCGCCGCCCCTCCTTCGCGCCCAAGCGGTAGGCAGGCGATCGGCATCGGGGACTCCGAGGCCACGCGCGAGGAGACGCTGGTGCCCACGAAGGGAGGGGAAGAGCAGAGAGAGGGCCCAGCCTAGCCGTGCTAGGAACAACACTTATAGGTTGTGCACTATACGTTGTTCAATATATGGTGTGCACATATGCGGCGCCATACATGTGGTGCAACATACACATATACATGTGTGTGTGTGTGTTGGGCAATCTGCGTTGCGCAGTTTATGGTGTGCAATATATGTGGTGCGATCGATGGTGCGCAATCTACGTGTGCTATCGATGCGGTGCAGCACATGGCGTGCAATCTACGTCGTGCAACCGATGCTGTACAATCAATGCTGTGCAACGATGTTGCGCAGAGCAATGCAAAGCAAAGTACTGAATATGAATGCAAAGCAGGGCGAACCAAAGGAATGCAAAACAGACAGAAACAGCGCAATGCAATGCAAGCGGGCGGCGAAGGGGCGGCGACGGCGACAACACGCACGGCGACCGACAGCCTCGATACTGCCTTGCGCGGGAGCGCCCACCCTTCCAAAAATCATTTCACGCAGGAGTTCAAAACAGATGTTTCGTTTGCTTGGTAGTGCGTGGTTCTTCGATCTCGCCTTTCTTCGGTCCTACACATTGTGTCACCGCTCCTGCGCGAGCCGCACTTCAGGATCGGAGCTTCGCTCCCGCCGTTCAAATAAATGTACGAACTCGCCCCAGCGCGGGCCACATCTCTGGATCCGCTTCGGTTGTGGTCGTTGCCATCCGACTCCCTTTCCCTCCTTTGCGTTCCCTTGATCCTCCTGCGCATCCTGCTCCTCCTGCTCCTGGTGTTCCCCCCATTATTTCTGCTGATCCTCCTGCTCGTTCGCCGCCACCTCCTCCTCCTCGTCCAAAGTGCTACTCCCCCGTCCCTGCTTGCGCAGCACACGATGGGGTTGGTTTGCGAATAGGGGTCACCTGGGGCCCCCAAGCCGGCGATGAAAAGACAGTGCAGCGCAATGGGAAGATGGGTGGGGGGGTAGGGTGTGCCATAGCGCGAGCACGCTTGGGTTGTCACCGTCCACATCTCGCAATCGTCATCGTCATCGTCCGCCGCCGTTGTTGCTCAAGTCGCGTTAAGATTGGTTCCAGCCGTTTTGCGTTTGAGGCAGGACCCCATCAGGCACCCATCCGTTGTTCATTATCGCCCAGACTTTTTTCGGAGCTATGGCGATGGTATACCAGGCCATCGTCGCGGTTTGGCAGGCGTGTCAGCATCCAACACGGTTCTCGAGTGCGGCGGGAAGGTCGTGTTGAAAGATTAGTTTTCTTTCTGCGGCGGCAATTCGACAAAGGCAACCAGTGGCACCACTTGCGCGGAGACGACGACACAGAAGGCGAAGGGAATCCAAGATTCCCGCGACCTCGTCACCAACGACACCATGAAGAGCGGGGCCAAGCGCCCTGACCTCGCCAATATTTTCGGCTAAAGCAGTGGAGCAAACGTGGATTGGCTCGTCGACAAGTTCGATCTGGATCTGTCTCTTGTGGCGCGCCTCGGTGGCCACTCGGCGCCGCGCACCCACGGTGGCGCGGAGCGCTTCCAAGGTATGACCATTACCTACGCCCTGATTCAGATGCTTGAGAAGGTTGCAGAGAACACGGACCGAGCCCGCATCATCACCAACGCTTGCGCCAACCAGCTGCTGACCAACACGTCAGGGGGCAAGCTTTCCGTAGTGGGCTCGATCTACTCCAAGAGCGGTGAGGAGTTCAAAGAGCACGGCCCCGTGATCTTGGCCAACGGTGGCTTCGGCGCCGACTTCACCACGAATTCGGTGCTGGCGCAGCACCGCCCCGACCTGCTCCATCTGCCTACCACCAACGGCGAGCATTGCACCAGCGACGGTATCAAGATGGGCGAGGAAATCGGCGCGCGGACCATCGACCTGGAGTGGGCCCAGGTGCACCCCAAAGGACTGGCGAAGCCAGACGACCCCGATGCGAAGATCAAGTTCCTCGCTGCAGAGGCTCTGCGCGGCGTGGGCGGGCTGGTGTTCGACGCCAACGGCAAGCGTTTCGCAAACGAGCTGGGTCGCCAGGACTACGTCACTGGCGAGATGTGGAAGAACAAGCCGCCTTTCCGCCTCTGCCTGAACAAAGCGGCCTCCGACGAGATTAGGTGGCACTGCAAGCCTTCCTGGATCGGCACATCCTACAGGTATGGGAGGGAAACAGACTCACGACCTGAGCTAGCTGCCCGACGATACTGAGGTTGTGGTTCGGCCAACGCTGAGAGAGAATTCGACGCCTCATGCGTATAGGGTGCGGGAAGTGCTTCGAGGAGGCCCCCCGCTACCCGCGTCTTTCAACCTCCGTGGTCAACGCATCGCTGATCGACGCACCCCAGATAACCTCACGTCGCACGAGAAGTCGAAC